TTGAGGAGCTCAGAAGATGCAATGTGTGTAAGGTCCAGACAGGGCAGGGTTTAGTATACATTGTGTGCTGGATATAATGCCTTGAGGAGCTCTGAAGTTGCATTGTGTGTAAGGTCCGGGCAGGGCAGGGTTTAGTATACATTGTGTGCTGGATATAATGCCTTGAGGAGCTCTGAAGATGCAATGTGTGTAAGGTCAGGGCAGGGCAGGGTTTAGTATACATTGTGTGCTGGATATAATGCCTTGAGGAGCTCAGAAGATGCAATGTGTGTAAGGTCCGGACAGGGCAGGGTTTAGTATACATTGTGTGCTGGATATAATGCCTTGAGGAGCTCTGAAGTTGCATTGTGTGTAAGGTCCGGGCAGGGCAGGGTTTAGTATACATTGTGTGCTGGATATAATGCCTTGAGGAGCTCTGAAGATGCAATGTGTGTAAGGTCAGGGCAGGGCAGGGTTTAGTATACATTGTGTGCTGGATATAATGCCTTGAGGAGCTCAGAAGATGCAATGTGTGTAAGGTCCGGGCAGGGCAAGGTTTAGTATACATTGTGTGCTGGATATAATGCCTTGAGGAGCTCAGGAGATGCAATGTGTGTAAGGACAGTGCAGGGTTTAGTATACATTGTGTGCTGGATATAATGCCTTGAGGAGCTCAGAAGATACAATGTGTAAAAGAGTCCGGGCAGAGCAAAATTTAGTATACATTGTAGTACTTTGGATATAATGCCTTGAGAGCTCAGGAGGTGCAATGTGTGTAAGGACAGTGCAGGAGTTTAGTATACATTGTGTACTGGATATAGCCTTGAGGAGCTCAGAAGTTTGCAATGTGTGTAAGGTCGGGCAGGGCAGAATTTTAGTATACATTGTGTGGCCTTGGATATAATGCCTTGAGGAGCTCAGAAGATGCAATGTGTGTAAGGTCAGGGCAGGGCAGGGTTTAGTATACATTGTGTGCTGGATATAATGCCTTGAGGAGCTCAGAAGATGCAATGTGTGTAAGGTCCGGGCAGGGCAGGGTTTAGTATACATTGTGTGCTGAATATAATGCCTTGAGGAGCTCAGAAGATGCAATGTGTGTAAGGTCAGGGCAGGGCAGGGTTTAGTATACATTGTGTGCTGGATATAATGCCTTGAGGAGCTCAGAAGATGCAATGTGTGTAAGGACAGTGCAGGGTTTAGTATACATTGTGTGCTGGATATAATGCCTTGAGGGGCTCAGAAGTTGCAATGTGTGTAAGGTCCGGGTAGGGCAGGGTTTAGTATACATTGTGTGCTGGATATAATGCCTTGAGGAGCTCAGAAGATGCAATGTGTGTAAGGTCCGGACAGGACAGGGTTTAGTATACATTGTGTGCTGGATATAATGCCTTGAGGAGCTCAGAAGATGCAATGTGTGTAGGACAGTGCAGAGTTTAGTATACATTGTGTACTGGATATGAGAAAATGCCTTGAGGAGCTCAGAAGATGCAATGTGTGTAAGGTCCTGGCAGGGCAGGGTTTAGTATACATTGTGTGCTGGATATAATGCCTTGAGGAGCTCAGAAGATGCAATGTGTGTAAGGTCCGGACAGGACAGGGTTTAGTATACATTGTGTGCTGGATATAATGCCTTGAGGAGCTCAGAAGATGCAATGTGTGTAAGGTCAGGGCAGGGCAGGGTTTAGTATACATTGTGTGCTGGATATAATGCCTTGAGGAGCTCAGAAGATGCAATGTGTGTAAGGTCAGGGCAGGGCAGGGTTTAGTATACATTGTGTGCTGGATATAATGCCTTGAGGAGCTCAGAAGATGCAATGTGTGTAAGGTCCTGGCAGGGCAGGGTTTAGTATACATTGTGTGCTGGATATAATGCCTTGAGGAGCTCAGAAGATGCAATGTGTGTAAGGTCCGGGCAGGGCAGGGTTTAGTATACATTGTGTGCTGGATATAATGCCTTGAGGAGCTCTGAAGTTGCAATGTGTGTAAGGTCAGGGCAGGGCAGGGTTTAGTATACATTGTGTGCTGGATATAATGCCTTGAGGAGCTCAGAAGATGCAATGTGTGTAAGGTCCGGGCAGGGCAAGGTTTAGTATACATTGTGTGCTGGATATAATGCCTTGAGGAGCTCAGGAGATGCAATGTGTGTAAGGACAGTGCAGGGTTTAGTATACATTGTGTGCTGGATATAATGCCTTGAGGAGCTCAGAAGCTGCAATGTGTGTAAGGTCCGGGCAGGGCAGGGTTTAGTATACATTGTGTGCTGGATATAATGCCTTGAGGAGCTCAGAAGATGCAATGTGTGTAAGGTCCGGGCAGGGCAGGGTTTAGTATACATTGTGTGCTGGATATAATGCCTTGAGGAGCTCAGAAGATGCAATGTGTGTAAGGTCCGGGCAGGGCAGGGTTTAGTATACATTGTGTGCTGGATATAATGCCTTGAGGAGCTCAGAAGATGCAATGTGTGTAAGGTCCGGGCAGGGCAGGGTTTAGTATACATTGTGTGCTGGATATAATGCCTTGAGGAGCTCTGAAGTTGCAATGTGTGTAAGGTCCGGGCAGGGCAGGGTTTAGTATACATTGTGTGCTGGATATAATGCCTTGAGGAGCTCAGAAGATGCAATGTGTGTAAGGTCAGGGCAGGGCAAGGTTTAGTATACATTGTGTGCTGGATATAATGCCTTGAGGAGCTCAGAAGATGCAATGTGTGTAAGGACAGTGCAGGGTTTAGTATACATTGTGTGCTGGATATAATGCCTTGAGGAGCTCAGAAGATGCAATGTGTGTAAGGACAGTGCAGGGTTTAGTATACATTGTGTGCTGGATATAATGCCTTGAGGAGCTCAGAAGATGCAATGTGTGTAAGGTCCGGGCAGGGCAGGGTTTAGTATACATTGTGTGCTGAATATAATGCCTTGAGGAGCTCAGAAGATGCAATGTGTGTAAGGTCAGGGCAGGGCAGGGTTTAGTATACATTGTGTGCTGGATATAATGCCTTGAGGAGCTCAGAAGATGCAATGTGTGTAAGGACAGTGCAGGGTTTAGTATACATTGTGTGCTGGATATAATGCCTTGAGGGGCTCAGAAGTTGCAATGTGTGTAAGGTCCGGGTAGGGCAGGGTTTAGTATACATTGTGTGCTGGATATAATGCCTTGAGGAGCTCAGAAGATGCAATGTGTGTAAGGTCCGGACAGGACAGGGTTTAGTATACATTGTGTGCTGGATATAATGCCTTGAGGAGCTCAGAAGATGCAATGTATGTATGGTCCGGGCAGGGCAGGGTTTAGTATACATTGTGTGCTGGATATAATGTCTTGAGGAGCTCAGAAGATGCAAAGTGTGTAAGGTCCGGGCAGGGCAGGGTTTAGTATACATTGTGTGCTGGATATAATGCCCTGAGGAGCTCAGAAGATGCAATGTGTGTAAGGTCCGGGCAGGGCAGGGTTTAGTATACATTGTGTGCTGGATATAATGCCTTGAGGAGCTCTGAAGTTGCAATGTGTGTAAGGTCAGGGCAGGGCAGGGTTTAGTATACATTGTGTGCTGGATATAATGCCTTGAGGAGCTCTGAAGTTGCAATGTGTGTAAGGTCCTGGCAGGGCAGGGTTTAGTATACATTGTGTGCTGGATATAATGCCTTGAGGAGCTCTGAAGTTGCAATGTGTGTAAGGTCCAGGCAGGGCAGGGTTTAGTATACATTGTGTGCTGGATATAATGCCTTGAGGTGCTCAAAAGTTGCAATGTGTGTAAGGTCCGGGCAGGGCAGGGTTTAGTATACATTGTGTGCTGGATATAATGCCTTGAGGAGCTCAGAAGATGCAATGTGTGTAAGGTCCGGACAGGACAGGGTTTAGTATACATTGTGTGCTGGATATAATGCCTTGAGGAGCTCAGAAGATGCAATGTATGTAAGGTCCGGGCAGGGCAGGGTTTAGTATACATTGTGTGCTGGATATAATGCCTTGAGGAGCTCAGAAGATGCAAAGTGTGTAAGGTCCGGGCAGGGCAGGGTTTAGTATACATTGTGTGCTGGATATAATGCCTTGAGGAGCTCAGAAGATGCAATGTGTGTAAGGTCCGGACAGGACAGGGTTTAGTATACATTGTGTGCTGGATATAATGCCTTGAGGAGCTCAGAAGATGCAAAGTGTGTAAGGTCCGGGCAGGGCAGGGTTTAGTATACATTGTGTGCTGGATATAATGCCTTGAGGAGCTCAGAAGGTGCAATGTGTGAAAGGTCCAGGCAGGGTGACTTGTCCTCTTCCTGGGGATTCTCAAGTCATCTGCTAAGAACCAAACCATAGGGATGAAGTTGGTGGCCATGAAGAAATATGTGTATTTGGTAAGAAAGTCCTCCTATGAGGACGAGGGTTAGACGAAACATTGTAGATTTGTTTGGCATAGCTCATTTATGGGGAAGTTTCTCTTTGTCCACCTGATGGACTCCAAACCTGCCTCAGGGCTTGGCACGTTCACCGAGCTGCCTTTAGTGCAAACAAACGCACTAACCCATACTAAGAGCTATTCCTGGAAAGGCGACGTGGCAGCCATAGGACAGATTTGCCCCAGGATGCCAATGCTGAACTTCTCCAAAAGGACAGATCCTGGAGAACCTCCTGCTGAGTGCAGTATTTCTTTTTCCCTCTAGAGGGCACTCTAAGACCAAGTGGTTAATGCCCATCTGCGCTGAAGAGGAATGTTTATGAGAAAATAATGTTCCAATGGGTACCCTGGGGTATTCAGCCTTCCAAGTGCCCTGAGGATCACCGATTGCCCACGAAGCTAAGCACCCCATGCAGGTCACTGGCTATTGACTCCTGGGACCAGTCCCTGTAGCCATGCTCAGAGTAAGGTCTCTCTACCACCTGACTGCATGGTACATACCGTATAAACCCAGAGCTAGATCTGACTAAATTACTACTGTTAATTGGATTAAAAGCTGGTATTGATTAATACATCTGCAGGGATTGGCATGCAACCCCATTCTTTAAATCAGCAGAGACAATGAAAAATATCATCTTACCTTCCAGGATAAAATAGACTTTCTCTAAGCCCATGGTGCTGCTTTCACTAAGACCAATGGTGGACCCCCTGCCGGGCTTTCAACTCCGAAGAAATCAGCAGAAATCCAAAGTCCAAGATGTGTCCCCCCCCCCCAATGTGTATGACATGCCCCCTCTCACTTGCCCCTCAGTCTCGGTCTTCCCTTTACTTGGGAGTTAGATTTGCCAGCCTCCCCACAGCTTCTGATTTACCCAAAACTTGTTCCCCTGTGCGAGTCGAGGGGACCAGCTGGATTACCTGGGGAGGGACAGGACAATGTGCCCCAAATCTGCACCAATAGCACCTCTTCAGAGACTGCTCAGCAAAACTCCAATCCATTAGGAATCTCCCCTCGTATAACCCCCCCAAGCATTGACTCTCCAAGGTCCAGCATCCATGACTCCCTCCCAAGCGTGCGATGGGAAGAGGGGTCCACGATGCAGCAGCCTGGCAGAAAGGATGCAGCTCAAATGGAGTGTTTCAAATAAATGAGGCTCATTTAGGATGTGAGAGGCTTGTACGCATGTCCCCCATACCCTCCCCACCTCCTCTATCCCCTCCTCTCCTTCATTCTGCTCACTGCTGTCTGTGTGTGAATTCACATAGTGGAGATGGACTGGGATGTGCAAGGGTCTGACAGTGTTTGCTGAATATTTATACATATTTTGGTATTTAGAAAGGTTGTCTGACCTAAAAAAAAAATGAGTGTGTCTCTCTGAGTTTCCCCCAGGGAAGATTGACACTGGAGGTAAGAAGAGGGAATTTACAATATTCAGAATTTTTCTTATTAAATATCTTTTTATCTTGTGAGAGACAAGCAAGCTGTGACAATTCATATCCTGAAAATCACATAACCTGCATAATGCCTGAGATATTTTATAGAATACTCCCAGTCCCATGATATATATTATATTTCGCAGACGATCCCGTGATATATATTCTATTCCGCCCACGGTCCTGTGATATATATTCTATTCCACCCACAGTCCTGTGATATATATTCTATTCCACCCACGGTCCTGTGATATATATTCTATTCCGCCCACGGTCCTGTGATATATATTCTATTCCGTCCCACGGTCCTGTAATATATATTCTATTCCACCCACGGTCCTGTGATATATATTCTATTCCACCCACGGTCCTGTGATATATATTCCATTCCTCCCACGGTCCTGTAATATATATTCTATTCCTCCCACGGTCCTGTGATATATATTCTATTTCGCTCACGGTCCTGTGATATATATTCTATTCCTCCCACAGTCCTGTAATATATATTCTATTCCTCACGCAGTCCTGTAATATATATTCTATTCCACTCAGTCCTGTGATATATATTCTATTCCGCACATGGTCCTGTAATATACATTCTATTCCTCCCACGGTCCTGTAAAATATATTCTATTCCGCTCACGGTCCTGTGATATATATTCTATTCCGCTCACGGTCCTGTAATATATATAAAATTTTGCCCACTGTCCTGTAATATATATTCTATTCCGCCCACAGTCCTGTGATATATATTCTATTCTGCCCACGGTCCTGTGATATATATATTCTGTTCCTCCCACGGTCCTGTAATATATATTCTATTTCGCTCACGGTCCTGTGATATATATTCTATTCCTCCCACAGTCCTGTAATATATATTCTATTCCACTCGGTCCTGTGATATATATTCTATTCCGCTCACGGTCCTGTAATATATATTCTATTTCGCCCACTGTCCTGTGATATATATTCTATTACGCCCACGGTCCTGTAATATATTTTCGATTACGCCCACGGTCCTGTGATACATATTTTATTCTGCACACGGTCCCGTGATATATATTCTATTCTGCGCACGGTCCCGTGATATATATTCTATTCCGCACATGGTCCTGTGATGTATATTCTATTTCACCCACGGTCCTATGATATATATTCTATTCTGCTCACGGTCCTGTGATATATATTCTATTCTGCACATGGTCCTGTGATGTATATTCTATTTCACCCACGGTCCTATGATATATATTCTATTCTGCTCCCGGTCCTGTGATATATATTCTATTACGCCCACGGTCCTGTAATATATTTTCGATTTCGCCCACGGTCCTGTGATATATATTCTATTCTGCTTACGGTCCTGTGATATATATTCTATTCCGCACATGGTCCCGTGATATATATTCTATTCTGCTCACGGTCCTGTGATGTATATTCTATTCCGCACATGGTCCCGTGATATATATTCTATTCTGCTCACGGTCCTGTGATTTATTTTCTATTCTGCTTACGGTCCTGTGATATATATTCTATTCTGCACATGGTCCTGTGATGTATATTCTATTTCACCCACGGTCCTATGATATATATTCTATTCTGCTCCCGGTCCTGTGATATACATTCTATTACGCCCACGGTCCTGTAATATATTTTCGATTTCGCCCACGGTCCTGTGATATATATTCTATTCTGCTTACGGTCCTGTGATATATATTCTATTCCGCACATGGTCCCGTGATATATATTCTATTCTGCTCACGGTCCTGTGATGTATATTCTATTCCGCACATGGTCCCGTGATATATATTCTATTCTGCTCACGGTCCTGTGATTTATATTCTATTCTGCTTACGGTCCTGTGATATATATTCTATTCCGCACATGGTCCCGTGATATATATTCTATTCTGCTCACGGTCCTGTGATGTATATTCTATTCTGCACATGATCCCGTGATATATATTCTATTCTGCTCACGGTCCTGTGATGTATATTCTATTCCGCACATGGTCCTGTAATATATATTCTATTCCACTCGGTCCTGTGATATATATTCTATTCCGCTCACGGTCCTGTAATATATATTCTATTTCGCCCACTGTCCTGTGATATATATTCTATTACGCCCACGGTCCTGTAATATATTTTCGATTACGCCCACGGTCCTGTGATACATATTTTATTCTGCACACGGTCCCGTGATATATATTCTATTCTGCGCACGGTCCCGTGATATATATTCTATTCCGCACATGGTCCTGTGATGTATATTCTATTTCACCCACGGTCCTATGATATATATTCTATTCTGCTCACGGTCCTGTGATATATATTCTATTCTGCACATGGTCCTGTGATGTATATTCTATTTCACCCACGGTCCTATGATATATATTCTATTCTGCTCCCGGTCCTGTGATATATATTCTATTACGCCCACGGTCCTGTAATATATTTTCGATTTCGCCCACGGTCCTGTGATATATATTCTATTCTGCTTACGGTCCTGTGATATATATTCTATTCCGCACATGGTCCCGTGATATATATTCTATTCTGCTCACGGTCCTGTGATGTATATTCTATTCCGCACATGGTCCCGTGATATATATTCTATTCTGCTCACGGTCCTGTGATTTATATTCTATTCTGCTTACGGTCCTGTGATATATATTCTATTCCGCACATGGTCCCGTGATATATATTCTATTCTGCTCACGGTCCTGTGATGTATATTCTATTCTGCACATGATCCCGTGATATATATTCTATTCTGCTCACGGTCCTGTGATGTATATTCTATTCCGTACATGGTCCCGTGATAGATATTCTATTCTGTTTACGGTCCTGTGATATATATTCTATTCCGCACATGGTCCCGTGATATATATTCTATTTCGCCCACGGTCCTGTGATATATATTCTATTTCGCCCACGGTCCTGTGATATATATTCTATTCTGCTCACGGTCCTGTGATATATATTCTATTCCGCACATGGTCCTGTGATATATATTCTATTCTGCTCACGGTCCTGTGATATATATTCTATTCCGCACATGGTCCTGTGATATATATTCTATTCTGCTCACGGTCCTGTGATATATATTCTATTCCGCACATGGTCCTGTGATATATATTCTATTCTGCTCACGGTCCTGTGATATATATTCTATTCCGCACATGGTCCTGTGATATATATTCTATTCTGCTCACGGTCCTGTGATATATATTCTATTCCGCACATGGTCCTGTGATATATATTCTATTCTGCTCACGGTCCTGTGATATATATTCTATTCCGCACATGGTCCTGTGATATATATTCTATTCTGCTCACGGTCCTGTGATATATATTCTATTCTTCAATTCTGTTCGACATTTCATATAATACTAGTTTTCCGATATATTTCATATTACACACAAATTGGCTGATATGTTTTATAGTATACACAATGTCAGGGTTATTTAGTAAAGTGGAAATTGTAAGTGAATTGCATTTTTAAAGGATTACTCCAATACAGAATTTTTTATGTCTGAGTGAGTGTGTATCTGTCAGAGTGTGTCAAATCATTGAGGATGTCTGCATGTCAAATCTGTGAGTGTGTGTGTATGTCAGTGTGTGTCTATCAGAGTGTGTGTGAGAGTGGGTGCCTGTCAATAAGTGGGCGTGTCAGTCAGGGCCGGATTAACATAGGGGCTGATGGAGCTGCAGCTCCAGGCCCAGGCCCATGGAATAGGCCCATTTAAAAAAAAAAAAAAAAAAAAATTTTTTTTTGTTTGTTTTACACACACTACTCTTAGGTTTGCCACCTGACTGGTATTTTACTGGCACAGCCGGTATTTGAGGCTGCCTGGCCGTGCCGGTATTGCAGTAATACCGGCAATACAAATGCAGGTATTTTTCTCAGTATAAATGGAGATTACTCTGCAATACCAGCACTGGCCAGTAGGGGTCACTGTGTGTTGAGAGAGGCAGGAATAGGAAGTAACAGCATACCCCTGCCTCTCTCTACTACTCACTGATCCGCGGGGGAGCAGCTACACAGCACAGAGAGTCCAGACAGCAGCTATACAGCTCAGGTTAGTGAGGGATGGGGGGAAAGGCAGCAGGGACACATGGGGACACTGAGACACTAGGGGACACATGGGGACACTGAGACACTAGGGGACACTGAGACACATGGGGACATTGGGAGACATTGGGACACAGAGAAACTAGGGGACACATGGGGACACAGACACTACTGGGAGACCGGGGGATGCTGAGACACTTGGGGACACTGGAAAACACAGGACACTGAGACACTAGGGGACACTGAGACACATGGGAACACTGAGATATAGGGACATTGGGAGACACAGAGACATTGGGACACGGAGACATTAGGGACACAGTGTCCCCATGTCTCCCAGTGTCTGTGTCCCCATGTCTCAGTGTCTCAGTGTCCCCATGGCTCCCAGTTTCCCCTAGTCTTCCAGTGTCTGTGTCCCCATGTCTCCCAGTGTCCCCAAGTGTCTCAGTGCCCCATGTCCCCAAGTGTCTCAGTGACATGGGGACACAGTGAGACATGGGGACACTGGGAGAAATGGGAACACTGAGATACTGGGAGACTAGGGGACTGGGCGACATGGGGACACTGACACTGTGATACATAGGGACACTGAGAGACTGGGTGACTTGTGAGACTGAGACACTGGGTGACAGGGAGACACAGGGGATTTTACAGAATTTTCTCTTA